GACCGACCGTGGCAAAAGGTAGCAGTGGATCTATTCTGGGAAAACGGAAAGGATTACTTACGGTGGACTACTATAGTGATTACTTTGAAATCGATTTACTCACCACCACGACCACGGAGGCAGTAATCAACAAACTCAGATGTCAATTCGCACGGCACGGGATACCGGAGGAGCTAGTCTCGGACAACGGTCCCTAGTTCAGCAGCATGGCATTCTAGGTTTTCGCAACCAAATGGGAATTCGCACACCGGCAAACCAGTCCCTATCACAGTCAATCAAATGGGAAGGCAGAGTCGGCAGTGAAGCAAGCCAAGCGACAATTAGCGAAGGCTAGAGATACTCGGGAGGACCCATACCTCATGCTACTGGAGAGTTGCAACACTCCTTCAACGGATATCGGCCTGAGCCCAGTGCAGCGCCTATACAGTCGAAGAACCAGAACTGTGATGCCTGCATCCGCGACACTTCTGCGCCCTGTTACGCCACAAGTTGAGAGAGTACAGAACAGTCTGAAAAGGCGAATGGCTACTCAGAAACGGTACTACGACAACGGCGCACGGGAATTACCTGAGCTGACAGTGGGGGAAGAAGTATGGGTTGAACCAATTCCCGATGGACAGGAGCGGTGGAGAAAAGGAGTCGTGGCTGCGAAAGTCGATGAAAGGTCATACGAAGTAAACGTTGGAGGGAAAAAGCCGAGTGCAGCTGAGGAGATGTCCGAGGCGACATCATGAAGCAGGGAGAGAGCGTTATACTTCGTGCGGCAATGAGGCGACATCGGCAGATCCCACAAAGAGGACGCGGAGTGGTAAAGTGTATGGACTATCTAGCAAAGTACAGCAGCAAGAACATGAAAAAAGGGAGGATGTGATGGGAGCATACACTCGAACGAACGTGCGGTGCCAGCCCAGCAAGGAAGCCGTTAGGCTGCCGCAAGGAAAGGCGGCAGTCGATTGGACGTCCACAAGTTTCTTGCATGCACGCAGATTGGCCAACAGTGGACGCATTGGAGTGAGTTTGTTTGACTGAATCAAAAGAAAAATGTCATGCGTTTACAAAGGTCGTTAATTGTGGATCCAACTAGCTGTACATACCGATATGTTTCACTCGCCCTCTGCCTGCGTTTTCGCCTGGTCCTGTTGTTTGCTGGATATACCTTTTGTCCCTGAAGGACCGACTTTTTACACTGACCTCGGTAACATCTTACGTCCCAGATCTAACAATCCTCCAACCGTTTGGGAAGTATGGCCGCCACAATGTTGCCTTTGTTTACGGGACGCCTTACAATACACGCTCAGCAGACACTTTGGTCGCACTGACCAGCCCAGAGTAAGAACAACTGTAAGCAAGATGGATTGAAGTATCTCGCATTCCATGAATTTTGATGACACATTTGAACGTTTAAGATCTAAAATGATCATTGTTCATTGAACATTTTGTTGCCAAATGCAGGAGCAGGCGACTATCGAAAAAACCCCTTTGGATTGATAAGGGAATACGATTCCTAATAAAAAGACGAAGGAAACTTTTGGTGGTTTTCAAGATTATGCGACTGACTTCAAGCTATTATGAGTATAAAGCTGTCAGAAATCTATGCACCATGAAGATATTCAACAAATGTGTGCAATATGAACACGGCCAGACCATGGAATATTAGGCCTATCACAAAACTACTAAAGTGGATAAAGGCATCCAGTGTTATCCTCCTTTAAGGAGGGCACCGTAATCTACGACGAGGATATAAAAACAAACCATTGGCTACGCAGTACTCCTCAGTCAACTCAGTGGAATGTCCGTTGCTCAGCAACTGTATGCCTGCTCACTACTAGTTTATAAAGCAAGTCTAAATCAACCCTGGGTTATTTGAGATGCACCAGCTCGAACCGGACCCGTACGCCTCCCCAGAAAAGGACGGATGACATCTCACATTTCTCAAGACGATATCTGAGTGGATGGGCACCTCAAGCTACCAAGCATTTCGGCACTACCTTATAAGCGGCCGCCCACTTCTGAACTGTAAAGCAGGTACTGTAATGCCCAGATACAACTTGGGATCCATCAAGGCGCCGCGAACTAGCGGACAATAAGCATGACCCCAATTGTTTGCAACATAGTAGAACGATTAGTAAACGCTCCCACCAGCTGCACTGTGCGAACCTGGATGTTATCTATTCCGCTCAACATGACTTCCAATGAACACGTCTTGCATCTCCAAATCACTTACCGACATAGAATCATGAACAGTATCCGTTGATGCCCCAAAACAGAATGAGGTTATCTTCATCGACATTAGCAAAGCATTTGACCAAGTTCCACGCGAAAGGCTGCTGTTCCAACTTCACATACTTGGCATTCCAAGAAGTCTTCTCCCATGGTTTATTGAGTTCTTAAGAGACCGGAAAATACGTGTGAAATTGAACTAAACCTTAGCTCCTGTGCATTTCACTAGATACCTGCTTGCACCAGAGCTCTTCAAACTCTATATTAACGATATCCCGATTGCACTTCAAACCAACTTTTGGATCTACACCCTTGACATCAATCTATGGTCAAATGTATCCAGCCTTGAGGATACTGACACATTTGAATGGACTTGAGACCATCCGCGCAACTGGTCTTTTAGGTGACGGCTGACCATAAACCGGGATAAATGCGCTGTTCTTCCAATGGGTAGCACCCCGTACCGCGCACATCACCTTGGTAGTTTTATCAGCAGGGATGTCATTCACGAACGTAACTTTGGGGTCATCCTGTTTTCTGACCTTGTAACCTCCCACAACATGTTTGAGAAGACAGCCACTGGAAATCAACTGGTATATACCGTAAGTGGATCAGTTATTCAAATGACACAGCGGATTGCGCAACATTTGTTTACCTCCTAAGTACGTCTAGTGCTGGAACATGGCTTAGCAGCTATCCATACGCTTTGAAAAATTGAATTCGCTCTGCTGGAAAACGTTTAGAGGCGTGTTTCGAAATCCGTTCTGAGACTTCATGAACTTCCACATCCTATTCAACTCGAGCAGCTAGATTTGTTCTTTTTTGTGCTCCGCCGTTGTCCACTGACCTCACCTACAATAGGCGCATCACACTACGGGAATTCGGAGATGAGTTGCAACAGTTGTATTTTGCTTAATGCCCACTGTTCCACACTAGGTCACACATGGAAGTTGTTAAGGCCAGGAAGTCAACGAGGTCACTCGGATGTTACCTCATCCACTAGGATGCTGAATGCCTGGAACAGCCCACCGGAGAACATTGTGTACTCAACGTCGACGGGAGGTTTCAACCGAATGTTAGGCAACTACTCGCTGAGCATTTTATAGTTTTGCTACGGTCACTGTATCTGCGACGAACCCTTGAGGAACATCGTAACGTAACGGTATGCTTCAAACCCACAGTGATTCGTAATCGACAGAGATGACAAGGGTTCTTGATCGTACTCTCTACAACTCACTGAACTCATTAGCCATTCTACGTAAATGTAGGTTCAGTCATCGTAGTGTAGGGAGAAGTGGTCTCTGTGTCCAAAAAAGGTGCACACGCGTTGGTCAGCGATCAAAGTGATCTCTGTTGTGCCTTTTGACTGCAAAGACGTTTATCAGGAGTCTGTACGACGAAGTCAGATGGTGAATAAGGAAGTCTACCAAGGAATTCTAATGCTTTTGACGTATGCTGTGCCTTGGAAGACGTATGACCTATGGGAAAGGCAGAAATGGATGTCTTATCATGGTAACGGGCCGGCTCACGCATCGCACTTTGTCTGTAGCCATTCGGCAAAGCATCAATATCCCATTGTGCCCTATTCACCGTATTCTCGACGCTTGACCACGCTGTAAAGACGCAACTTCGAAACTAACGAGGAGCTAACTGAACTTGCAACAGGAAACCGGGGCTCTAGCGTTCTAGGAGGCCTTCCAACGATGGAAGCAAAATTGGGTACGGTGTATTGTCAGCAACTGGAACGAATTTGAAGGGGACAGTGCTGAAAATGTTGTACACTGAGCAGCAAAGCTTTTATAGCAAAAGTTCTGTTTCTTTTTGAACGCATTAGTACAGCGTGGATTTTCTTGTCGGCATTATTATTTTATCTATACATCACAGTCAAACTGAAGTGTATATATTTAGGTATATATTGGAAAATGCCCGCACAAAGCCACTGCACTCTTGCGCGCGTTTTGACAAAGCTTGATTTCATCAGGTAGAGATAGAAAGCCTCAAAGCCGGGACCATTTTCTGTTAGTTTGACACCTCCAACCCTAGGCCACTGGGTCAAGATGGGCAAAGCTTGTCGCAACAGTTAATGACTGATTTGAGGGTTAGTTTAATGTACTCGTTTTGTGAATGGAATTCGACGCGCAATCTCAATGTAGACTGTAATCCACAGTGTAGTAAATCTTGATCAAATCGATCACTGTAATCGGAACCGATGAAGGAGGTACGCAGGAATTGCGGTCCACATTTTGATTGCACATCTCAATCCATCCACATAACGTGTACTGCCAAGTGATCCTCCACTCTAGATTTATTTCCCCTTATACCATGTATTTTGCTCGTGGCTTGAAAGCCGGCGTAATAACAACTGCATTTGACTGTAATGAAATGGAACAGATGGAGCTTATAATATTTAGTGAAGCGTATTATAATATAGACTTCAACAAATTTCGGTGCTTCGTGCCGTACTTGGCGACACTGAATTGCATGGTTCGATGCGATATTAGCCGAAACTTGAAACCGGACAGTTCCAGTTTTCATCGCATCTAACCAAACTGTATCACCCACTGTTTCGTCCGCAAGTTTTAGCCTACATCTATTCAACAAAGCTTACCGTGGTTGTTAGGTCACAGCTTTTATTTTCTCCTGTTCTCAAACCTGAGCCCAGCCGTTTTTGGCCTTTCATAACTATGCTACTTCATTGTTCAGTATTAAGAAATTGTGAAATCCCATTTGAAATTGGGCATAACCTACTGAGGGAGAAAAATGCTTTCTTTTTGCCGAAGTGTTGCAGTTTGCCGAGAAACGCCATAGACGCTGCACCCATTCGACGTTGCCAATCTCTGCTAAGAAGCGCTGAGGGCCTAAGACAAACACAACAATCCAACCTGGTCAACAAACAAAGGTGGAATTCCTGTGAACCTGATGGTCGGTAGGTTGATTGTTTACTTTATTGAGTCTGTGTGCTTTAATGCTTTACCTAGGACACCTTTATGCTCGTAATCACTTTGCTAGATCATCGTAAGTTCCCAGAAGCCATCTGACTTGCTGCGCGTTCACGTAAGCAAATCTTAATCACTTATGAATAAACCGGACATTTTATGTCGAGCAACGGAAATAAAACCTTCTGTCCGGAAAGCTTGTCGTGAGTTAGGCTTGAGACTTAAGTAAATAATGTCTAGCGTGGTGTGGGTTCCGCAAACTTTGCAAGAATCTTAAGTGACATGATTCAAGTCCGATACTCTTCAGAACGTGCCATGAAGGATGAACAATGATTTTATAAGGTTTAAAAAGCAAGTACTTTAGAAACTGTGTCGTACAACACAGTTGCATCTATAGGAAAGATGTAAAAGAAAACACTTAGCATTTTGCTACCAAAAGCGGCAGCCCAGCTGTTGTCGCTGTTTCCCAGCACCAGTTAGTGAAGTACAGTATAACGAAAATTATTGCAAAAGTTTCACGAAGCAATATTGTTACTGGACAAAATGAAGGTAGCTGGTTGCATCATGCAACCCCCTTTAAGTATAGTTATTACCAGGGCTAAATCGACCGGTTGCAGGAGTCTATTCTACGGCTGACAACGGTGGAGAGAAAAAGGTGTCTACTTCTTTCCAACTGGCTATAATTTGCGATCAGTTCTATGGTGTGTTTTCTTGACGTGATGTTATCAAGTCGCCTGGTAATCGACAAGGCCATCCGCTGAGGACAGCCAAGAGTATTAGCTTGCATGTATGGAAAGTTACGCATTGCTGCAGGGTACTTGTCCTGACGGATAAGTTCTTATTCAAAGTATTATGACAAATCATTATGACAAATTATTATGACAAACGGTGTTCATTAGTCAGGAGATTGGAGCGCATGTTAGCACTTGTTGTAGATGCTAATGAACCAAATGAAATCGGATTTCATTATACCATGGTTTTACACCCAGTATACCATTACAGCGACCAGTCGAGAAATTAAAATGCACTGCTTATATCCTTTGTGAGTACAACCAGCCCAAAAAATGCTTTGTGCTTCGGCATTATACGTAGTTCAATTTCAAGTTCGGGTGAGACTGGAACGATAGGAGAATCCCGTAGGTGTTCTATTTTGATTGGATGGTTGAGCCAAGAATTGATGAAGTGCTCAGAGTTCTTGATGGATCTAAAACGGAACACCCGTATCCCACCCTCGTCAACCAGTTAATGCCCAAGTTTCCTGCCCTTGCAATCCATGCTGTGGCAGTCAAGTGAGGTAAACAAAGGACAGGAAGAGATATAGAAGGTACACAATAAGGAAGCCCACTTAAAATAAGAAGATCATATCAATGATCATATCAATGAAGAAAACTAGAGAAATAATCGAAGCATGAAGAGACAGGTTACTCGGGAATAGGGGAAGGTTTCGTGTTTCCACCCAAGAGCGTCAAGTTGCCGCTCAAACCCTTTAACCGTAGATTACCTGAGAATACTTTCCGTAAGCATGTTTCAGCGCTCGATGACTCGGTGTGACAGCCGGATTTCTGCCTTAATCTGATTGGACCGCGATTTGTCCGGCTTCATGGAATGACCGCGTCGAACAGACAATCTAGCGGGACTAAATAGCAAGATAAATCTGGACGCACCTTCCAAGTTAAGATGCGGTAGGTTAGGGTTAAGTCTCCTCTAAGCCTTCGGTAGTGCATTGAATGTATTCCTAAACTAAGTAGACGCTGGCGGTACATCTGTTCCTGTAATCCCTCAACTAACCTAGTACCCACCCGTAAAACCCTCTCTAGCTCCATTTTGTCTCGGACGACGCAGTGCGAACATGTCTGGACGCAGTATTCCAGAAGAGGCCGAACGAAGATCGAGAACACTCTCACAAAATGTCGCTCTTCAAGATTCCGAAAGAACAGCGTGTTAACCACAACACGCGGCCTTCTTCTAGTTGTCGCCGGAGTGTAAAGTCGAAGTGTGAATGACGCCTACATCAACATGGCTAGATACACGGGGGAGTACGATCCCGCTGACCAAGTACTTCGTAGGAGTACAACCTCCTCCAGTTCAAGGAACGGAGTAATTTGCCTGATTTATGGGCAGTAACCACAAAGCCCTGACCCCGGTACCATTTTACCTCCCTGATCTAACGTTTCCCTAACTGCTTGGGAAGTTTGGCCGCCACAATGTTGCCTTTGGGGACATGACGCCTTACAATACACGCTTTGCAGACACTCCGTCGCAACTTCGGTCGCACTGACCAAACCAGATTAAGGACAACGGTAAGCAAGATGGATTGAAGTATCCTGAATTCCATGAATCTTGATGACACATTTGAACGTTTAAGATCTAAAATGATCATTGATCATTGAACATTTTGTTGCCAACTGCAGGAGTAGGCCGCTACCAAAAAGAACCCCTTTGGATTGATAAGGAAATACGAGTCTTAATGAAAAGACGAAGGAAACTTTTGGTTGTTTTCAAGATTATGCAACTGAGTTTAAGCTACTATGGGTACAAAGCTGTCAGAAATCTATGCACCATGAAAATATTCGACAAATGATTGCAATGTAAATACTGCCAGACCATGGAATGTTAGGCCTATCACCAACCTACAAAAATGGATAGTGGTATCCCAGTGTTTGCCTCCTTTAACTGTGGCACCGTAACCTACGACGAGGATATAAAAAACACACCTTTTGGCTACGCAGTACTCCTCAGTCAACTCAGTGGAATGTCCGTTTCTCAGCAACAGTATGCCTGTTTACCACTACTTTCTAAAGCAAGTCTAAATCAACCCTGCTCGAAATGAACCCTTGCGCCTCCCCAGGCCAGGACGCATGACATCCCACATTTCCCAAGACGATAGCTGAGTGGATGGGCACCTCAAGCTACCAAGCATTTCGGCACTACCTTGAAAACGGCCGCCACTTCTGGACTGTAAAGCAGGTACTGTAAGGCTCAGATACAAGGTGGGTTCCATCAAGACGCCGCGAACTAGCGGACAATATGCATGACCCCAATTGTTCGCAACATAGTAGAACGATTAGTAAAACGCGCCCATCAGCTGTACTGTGCGAATCTGAATGTTATCTATTCCGCTCATCATGACTTTCAGTGAACACGTCCTTGCATCTCCAAATCACTTACCGACACAGAATCATGAACAGTATCCGTTGATGTCCCAAAACAGAAAAACGTGATCTTCATCGATATTAGTAAAGCATTTTACAAAATTCCACGCGCACGGCTGCTGTTCCAACTCCAGATACTTGGCATTCCAATATGTCTTTTCCCATAGTTTATTGAGTTCTTAAGAGACCGGAAAATACGTGTGAAATTGACCCAAAAGTTTGCTCCTGTGCATTTCACTAGATACGTGTTTGCACCAGAGCCCTTCAAACTCTATATCAACGATATTCCGACTGCACTTCAAACCAACTTTTTGATCTACAGCCATGACCTCAACCTAAGATCAAACGTATCCAGCCTTGAGGATGCTGACACAACTGAGTGGACTTTAGACCATCTGCACAACTGGTCTATTAGGTGGCGAAAGCCAGTAAACCGGGATAAATGTGCTGTTCTCCCAATTGGTATCACCGATCCGTACGGTGCATGCTACGTTGGTGGTTTTCTCCACAGGGATGTCACCGACGAACGTGACCTTGGGGTTATCCTGCTTTCTGACCTCGGAACCTCCCACAAGATGTTCGAGAAGACAGCCACTGGAAATCAACTGGTAGATACCGTAAGTGGATCATTTATTCAAATGACTCAGTGGATTGTGCAAAATTTGTTTACCTCCTAAGTACGTCTAGTGCTGGAACATGGTTTAGCAGCTATTCATCTGCTTTGAAAAATTGAATTCGCTCTGCTGGAAAAGGTTTAGAGGCGTGTTTCGAAATCTGTTCTGAGACTCAGTGAACTCCCATATCCCAATCGACTCGAGCAGCTAGATTTGTTCTTCTTTGAGTTCCGCCGTTGTCCAGTGATCTCACCTACAATAGACGCATCACACGACGGGAATTCGGGGGTGAGTTGCAACAGTTGTTTTTGCTTAATGTATACAGTTCCACATTAGGTCACACATGGAAGCTGTTTAAGCCAAGGAGCCAATGAATTCACTCCGATGTTACCTCATCCACTAGGGTGCTGAATGACTGGAACAGCCCACCGGAGAACATTGTAGACTCGCGATCGACGGGTTTCAAAAAAATATTAGGCAACTACTCGATGAGAATTTTATAGTTTTGTTACGGTCACTGCATCTGCGACGAACCTTTGAGGAACATCGTAACGTAAAGATATGCTTCAAACCCACAGTGATTCGTAATCGATAGAGATGACAAGGGTTCTTGATCATACTTTCTACAACTCACTGAACTCATTAGCTATGCTACCTAGATGTAGATTCAGTCTTCGTAGTGTAGGGAGAACTGGTCTCTGCGTCCAAAAAGGTACACACGCGTCGGTCAGCGGTCAAAGTGATCTCTGTTGCGCCTTGTGACTTCAAAGACATTTATCAGGAATCTGTACCACTTGGTCAGCCGGTGAATAAGGAAGTCTACCAGGGAATTCTAAGTCACATGCTGTGCCTTGGAAGACGTATGACCTGTGGGAAAGGCAGAAATGGATGTCTTATCATGGTAACGGCCCGGCTCACGCATCGCATTTTGTCCGTAGCCATTCGGCAAAGCATCTATATCACACTGTGCCCCATTCACCGTATTCTCGACACTTGACCACGCTGTAAGGACGCAACTTCCAAACTAACGAGGATCTAACTGACAGTGCAATAAGAAACCGGCGCTCAAGCCAAGAAAATGCTTTCTAGGAGGCCCTCCAACGATAGAAGCGATATTGGGTATAGTGTATTGCCAGCAACTGGAATGAATTTGAGGGGAACAGTGCTGAAACTGTTGTACAATGAGCAGCAAAGCTTTTATGGCAAAAGTTCTGTTTCTTTTTG